AGTTTGAGACTCTCGTCCCAACTTTGACCTTAAAAGTTTCACTAAGTTTGAGACTCACCTACGAGACCTACCTACTACTCATACATTGAACGACGGACCATCCTGGTGTACCATAAAAAGTATATTGTGACTTAACATTTTAAAAATTTTTAACTTGCAACCTTAGTTTCCCACCGTAAGTCAACCTACGGTCCGTCGGTGCAGACACCAGTTTCTAGAAAACCTACATTTCCTTCTTTAAAAATCTGAGGTGTTACAAAAGTATAGTGAAGGAAAATGTGAACCTCATTAAAAAGTAACAAATATGATGTAATTTTTAATTTGTAAGGCACACACAAATTTTCCCATGGATAAACTGGTATACACCCTATAAATTTATAATCATGACTAAAAGTGAATTATACATGTGCAAAGCACGTTAAATGTTGAATACGATTTTACCCCTTCTATAAATTAAAATGTTATAAAATATATAACTAATTAAATATTAATCATGTGTAGCATGAAATTCAATTAAATTAAATGACAAAAACAATGACTCTTTGAATTCTAGAACAAAAAACTAAAATCTCTCCATCTATATTTAAAGAGTATAAAACAATTCATATTAATGCTAGAACTTTTGAGTTACTTGAACTTTGTTCCATACGAATGAAACTACAATATAGTACACTACCGCTAGGAGAAACTTACATAGCCTTTTGTAGTTTTAGCTTGTTAAATTAATAACCATCCAGAATAGTCCCTAATCATTCGCCACTTAGAATAAGAAAGTCTTAATAGTAGCCCAAATAAAATAAATTTTAATAAGGAGATGAATCACTGATAATTCCACTATCCTAATTTGGCACAAAAAATGGTGCTTCAGTTATCAACTTTCTATGAGCTGTGACATGTTCATTCTCTTCTTCTATCTGGTCGGTCCATCAACTCTCGCTTGTAACACCTTTTTGGCCACTAGAATTGATCAAATTATTTATCAAAATAACTTGATCTATTGAAATAATTAGTAAAGCTTAAGGTTTAATCGAATTCAAATTAGGATCAAAACAAAGCATAATTGGAGAGGCTCCTAGAGAACCAATTTTGAGATCTAACATCAGTTGTTACCCCTACTTCATCAACTATATTAGTCTGTCCAAGTTCTCTCATTTGCGCCACAGTAGTAACTGTTGTGTTAATAGCTACATCATCTGTAGATAACTTTCCCGAAGAAACTGTGGATGCAACAATTAAAGGCTTTGAATTAGTTGTGTCTTCTTGAAGCTCAATCTTATTGGAGTTGTAGCTTTTTTTTAGTAGCATTACGATTTAGTTACTTCCAACTTCAATTCGTAGTGTTTGCTATCCAGGATTTTCAAATTTCGTCGTCACAATTGAATTATTATCAAGCATAAGATCTACATTCGAACCAGCTTGTTCTTAACACAAAAGTACGCATGTATCTTCTGAAACTCTGTTTCAGCCACCAAAAGTCCTTGTTGCATTGGCCTTCCATCAAGTAATGCTAGCATTGTATCGCCACTATTTCCAGTAGTTATGGGCTGCCCCGAATTGATGTTTGGTAAGTTATTCATATTACTTGCATTATCCTTATCATTAGAAACTTTATTTCTAGCTTTTTTTTTTGCATACAAGAAGTCTTGTGCATCACCCTTGCAATTGTTCCATAGTATTTTTTTGTCGCATTATTGCCCAATGTCATCTTGATTGCCTTCTTCCTTTTGTATTTCTTGATCATTTACCTTGATGCTTATATCATGTACAATACAGAGGAAGATTCTTAAACACAACCTATTGATAGTGTTCAACGAGCTTACAAGATTGTTCATAAAAAAAATGCATCCTTACTTGTTACAAATGTTTGTCCACAAGATCAAGAATGACCTTAACTTTAGTTATGCTAGGTCTTGACATCTTGGGTAGATTTTGTTGGGTTCATTGTATAATGTGAGAATGGATAATGGTACATAGAATAAAGATTGGTGAATTAAAAAATGTGAAAGTGCTGCAAGTATGAATGAAGTTATTCCATTCATGAATACTCATGACAGATGAATGCAACCTTTCATATTTTCATGCACCCTTTCGTATTTCTAGGCTACCTTTTTACATATCATGCATGAATCACTATGCTCACCTATAGACTATAAATATCTGAATCTTTCTCAGATATTGACACAAGTTTTTGAAACAAGTTTACAAGAAGAAAAACAATACATATTAAGAAGAAAGTTTCCGCTTTTCCAAACACATCAAGTGTGAATACAAGCCATTGAGTGGTTTGCTGGACAATAAATTTGAGGTACCGCTATTTGCTTATCATGAGTCATATTATCCTGGTAGGATATATTGCATAACCTCGGATACTTGAGGTCGTTTTTGCCTTAAATATTTGGAGGTATTATTTGTATAGTGTTTACGTAGATGTGTTTACCGACCACAAGAGTTTGCAATATGTGTTTCATCAGAAAGATCTAAATCTTCACCAAAGAAGGTGGCTTGAGTTATTGAAAGATTATGACGTGAGTGTGCTCTATCACCCCGAAAAGGAAAATGTGGTGGCGCATGCTCTAAGTCGGTTATCTATGGGTAGTGATGCTCATATTAAAGAAAAAAAGAAAGAGTTGGTTCGAGATGTTCATAGATTGGCCCGAATAGGTTTTTATTTAGTGGACTCCACCAAGGGTGGTGTTATGGTTCACAATGGTTCAGAATCGTCTTTAGTGGCGGATATGAAAGCCAAGCAAGGTCTTGATCCAGTTTTGGTCGGCTTAAAACAAGAAGTACTTAAGAAATCTGAGAGTCTTTTTCCCAGGGGGAGATGGTGTGCTTAGATATCAAGTTCGTTTATGTATTCCAAATGTTGATGACTTAAGGGAACTGATTTTGATAGAAGCCATAGTTTGCGGTATTCCATTCACCCGGGAGCCACCAAGATGTACCGTGATTACGGGAGGTCTATTGGTGGAATGGGATGTAGAAGGATATTGCAAAATTTGTAGCTAAGTGCTTGAATTGCCAACAAGTGAACTTTGAGCATAAAAAACTAGGAGGTTTATCCCAAGGCATTTGCATTCCTTCTTGAAAGTGGGAATATGTAAATATGGACTTTATTGTTAGTTTGCCTCGCACCCGGCGACAACATGACTCGATTTGGGTCATAGTAGATCGGATGATGAAATCAACTCATTTCCCTCCCTTCAAGGTTTCCTATTCGGCGGAGGACTATGCCAAGTTGTACTTGAGAAAAATGGTAAAGTTGCATGGAGTGCCTTTGTCCATTATTTCCGATTGTGGTACCCAATCCACTTCTCAGTTTTGGAAGTCTTTCCAAAAAGGTCTTGGTACCCGTGTTAAGCTTAGTACGACCTTTCATCCCCAAACCGATGGGCAAGCGGAGGGTACTATCCAAACTTTGGAAGACATGTTAAGGGCTTGTGCGATTGATTTTAAGAGTAACTGGGATTACCACTTGCCATTGATTGAGTTTGCCTATACTAATTGCTATCACTTGAGTATTGCTATTGCTCTATTTGAGGCATTATATGGTAGGAGGTGTAGATCTCCTGTAGGTTGGTTTGAGGTGGGTGAAGCCACCCTAATAGGTCCTGAATTGGTACATGAGGCGATAGAGAAAGTTTGACTTATTAGGGAAAGGTTGAAAATGGCTCAAAGTCGGCAAAAGTCATATGTCGATGTAAGAAGAAGAGATCTTGAGTTTGATGTTCATGGTTGGATTTACTTGAAAATTTCACCGATGAAGGGTGTAATGACATCTAGTAAGAAGGGGAAGCTTAGTCCCCGATATGTAGACCCATATCAGATTTTGAGACGTGTTGGTACGGTTGCTTATGAGCTAGAATTGCCAAATGAGTTGGCATTGGTGCATCCGGTTTTTCCATGTCTCTATATTGAAGAAATGTGTTGGTAATCCGACATCCATAGTTTCCTTAGAAGGTTTGGGAGTTAAGGAGAATTTTTCTTATTAGGAAGTTCCGATTGAGATTTTAGACCAGCAAGTCAATACATTGAGAAATAAAGAAATAGCTTCTGTGAAAGTGTTGTGGAGGAATCAGTTACTTGAGGGTGCTACATGGGAGTCCGAGGCCAATATGGTGTCCTGATATCCTGATCTCTTTCCTTCTACGCCTACTCTAGCGTGAGGTAATAAGTTCCTCATGGTTTGTTCTTTGTTTTGGAGTCATGTTTCCTATGTGTTTCCATGATTTCCTTACTATGCATGTTTTATGAAAAGTTCAAGTTTTGAGAAAATGAGTCAACCTAATTAATTTCTACATGTTTATGTGCATATGGGTATGAATTGCATGTAGAGTACTTGATATGATGATGTGAGCATGTATTTATCTTGGAGTTGATATTTCCACCTCGAGTATATACATTTCAGTATGTTGTTAGCTTGGAGTTGATGTTTCCTCCTTGGATGTTAGCTTGGAGTTGATGTTTCCTCTCCGGATATGTCCATTGCATGCATGATGGGCTGTTAGATTTAGTTTCACCCCTCTTATGATGTTTTGAGAATGTCCTTGCTTGGAGTCTATAGTTCCTCCTTGGTTATATCACTACAAGAAAATTAGCTATTAGCGAAGAGAAATCTGGTCCCTAAAAGGCTGATTCTAGTCCCAAAAAGTCAATAGCGACCCAAAAAAACTGGTCGCTTCCCGTCCCTATCGGCCTCTTCGCTAAAAGACAATAGCGACGAGTTATTGTTACTGGTCCCTAAATGTCTTTGGGGACCAGGTTTAGTCTGGTCGCTAAGACATCTTTAGGGACCATATATCTGGTCCTTAAGTTGTTGTTTTGTACCACTTTTTCTGGTATTTACAGATTTATAGCGTCCACATTTTCTGGTCCTAAAAGACCTATTAGGACAAGGCATCTGGTCTGTACAAGTTTTACATTGTAGAAATATTACTGTTTATAATGTAAAACTTCACCTGCATAAAGACATAATATAAAACTTCAACTGCATAAAGACATAAGATCAAGCATGGCATGCCTTCATATATATAAGCAGTTACAAAAATCAGATTAACATCCCATCAGTAGCAATGTAGCATTCTACAGCCCAATATTAGTCATTACATTTACTATACGAAATTTGAAAAGTTGTCCAACTGTCTCGGCATTATGATAATCTCATCTTCGCTTTTGGTCGGAGACTTGTAAATTCATCAAATCATTAAACCTGTCAAAGACATAATTAATAATGCTCATAACTACTAAACATTCCACTAGAGAACTTAAATTAAACATAGTTTAGACAATCTAGTATATCTAAATTTCAACTTTCCAATTAACGTTGCACTCAATTCTAAAGCAAAGTTCTAAGAAATACATAATCTTTCATCTATATATGAACATGTAGCTGCAAATTTATGGACAAAATATCAATGATAAAAGTAGAGTAAATACTTTCTAAGTTGTTTAGTCATACAAAAAACATATGTAGAACTAGTAAGATAGTAACATCTACCAAGTCTAGGAATAGATAACCTGACTACGTGTAATTAGAATTAAATAGACATTATATGTATGGACATTCTTTTTAAATTAATGATTGATTGTTGTGTTATTAGTAGATAATGCACTTCACAAACATGGTATGTGATTGAAGGTCCAAATGTTGCTACAATCAACGTAACTATAATAGAAAGAGAATGACTGACACAACTTGATATTGCTTCCTCGAATTCATCCAAGTCCACTTTGACTTGAAGGGAAAAGAAAAAGATTTTCTATATAAGAAAATAAACCTAAAGGCTCAATTTAGGGGAATAGCAGATCTCTAACTTTTGGAGGTTTTCATACATTCCCTCATGAAGCTTAGCCTCATTGTACCGAAATCCATAGGTTCTTTAATGATTTCATAGTAATCTTCCACCATAATAGAAACAGAAGATGTAATTTATTAAGAATACCTGGCCTTCAAAAACCAAAGCCAATCATAAGACCAATAGAACCTCAGCGCGATCAACTGGTTCTGCAAATATTTAATAGGTATTCATCCCTCCTAACATAAAAATACACACAAACAAAGTAGTAAGATGTATAATGTATTTCTTATTGTACACGTAATGTGATAAATATCAAACTTAATATAATATAAGGATGCTGCAACCATTGCAGAATGTCAAGAATAAGTTCTAGAATACTTCTTTTTGGCGACTTTGTTGGTTTACCTAATAGAATCCAAAGTATGAATTAAAACTTTGAAGTTGATGCTTCTAAATAAATAAAATACAACAAGAAAGATCATTAAGTTCATACTACATACAATGGTCTATCCTTTAACGCCATTTTAATCTAAGGTAAAATATTATTCATCGATATTTTTTCCCTATCGAGAACACATTAGGAAGTTTTGTCCCCCTTTTTTTGTTCAGCAGAAGTATAGACTTGGACAGCAGGCAAAGAGATAAAATGCAGCAGAACAAAATAGAGAAAATATTGGTAAGTTTTGGATGATTTTGAAAACTCGATTGAAAGCTGAAACAGAAACAAAATGGACATAAACCTCCTTCCTTAAATTTGTATTATAATGCTTGATAATTGTATTGAGTGCTACATTTAACATACAAATTGTCTAACGGAGCTCGAAATATAGTAAATCTTGTAATACTTCTCCCATAGGTAACTAGAGTTTTTCATGATTCTTTCTTTTCATTTAGCAAATCTGGTGATGCTCCTTATGTTTTCATTGTAGCAGGGGAGTCCTAACCATTCAGTTTGCATTCCTCAGGACCCAGTATAACTTCATCAAGCATGAATGGTACACAAGGGTAGGTACTAGGACACTCAACTGTTAGTTATACTGGCACTATACATGTACTATCTTTCCAGTTCTCTAGCATCTCTCCATGAGACTATCATAATACTTGCCTCTAAATATTTCAATGAGAGCAGTAGTGTCCTCAAACTTCTCTACTTCATAGATTTACAATTGAGATGCATTTCTCTGTTGAATTTTAAAATTGGTCCAAGTGCAGTCATGTATTTGATTTAACCATGCCTATAGTGTACTTTATGATGTATATATACAACTCCATGAGGCAAGGTGTGTATCAAGGAGATTCCTAAGAAAAAGCTGAAATTATATACATGTTAGTCTTATAATATATTTTATCAGCCATGAACTACAAAGAATTTAAGTCAGAAGTCTCTTGCACTTATTATTTCTTTGCAAAAGTTATCTAGTAACGCTAAGAAAAAAGAAGTAATCTTACACTGTAAAGCACGAACTATTAACAGCTTGACATAGCAAACAAAGTAAGAAATTACTCCAAGGATTTTTACAACATTTAAGAATAGTTGAACTTTCACTCTGTTATTTAGACATGACTGCACTACTACTGAAGTATGCAAAAGTCTGCACTAGTAACTGTAATATCAATGGATTTAGAGAAATATTTTACCTTAGATGAGAACTATAATTGACTTGTTCACCAAACCTTTGATGTGAAACCTGAAAATGAGTGGACAACTGCTTTTGGAGAAGAAATAATTACCCAATCAAAAAAGTTTTTTTTCTTTAAAATAGGTAACTTTCATAGCCAACAACGTATATTTTCAACCAAAAAACACATATAGAACTAATTCGGCGTCGTACATATAGAATTTGAAGCAAACTATAAAAATAATAACAAAACAAGCAAAAGTCAAAATTTAGTAGATTAAATATCGCCATAAGGATATCAAGTGAAGAAAATACCTGAAAATCAGATAAAAGAAGTAAGAATTCAAGCAATTGAAGTTCACTTTCAAAACTAACTACATCAATATGTACAACTTCCTGATGGTATCCACTATTTTGAAATCTCTGTGGGATAGTTGATAGTAATAGTGAATGTTCATAGAATTAGAAATATTTCACAGCTTTAGAGAATTCATTATTATTGAAAGTATCAAAAGAGAAGAACTTGAGTTTAAATATCAAGTAAAAGAACCAAAAAACAAAGTTAATCATGAATATATGGTTTCAGACACGTTTTCACAGTTAACCTTGGAAATTTGAGAGGGCATGAAAAATAGAAAGGATAGCCCTGCTAGGATTGAGCTTCGATTGAAAGAGTGGGTAATATATAACAATTTTTTATGTAATTCACAAACATACAGAGCAATCACTACAATCCAAGAAGAACACAATATATTATATAATATGATTTGTTACTTTCTCTGACCACACCCCTTGAGCAGCCAACACATATATACAAAGGAAAATAAGTACCAATAGTGTGACTCAATTGAGTATTCAAAATGAGAAAAGCGGAATCTGAAATTAGAAAAGAACTGAATAGGTATTCAAAACGAGATAAGAGGAATCTGAAAAAAAACTACGAAATTGATAATTGAATTTCATAAATCTAATATCATCAAATCACTGAAATAGAAAATTACCCCATTTCCTTGATTATTACAGTTGTTGCAGAGCCCACCTGTAATCTTCTTTGTCAAATCGAAAGAGCATCACTTGAAGGTGGGTTACTCATGACGGGAAGGAAATTAGCTTCATTGGTTTATTAATTTTGTGTTATCAAAGAATTTTCAGGTTGGTGATGTTGGAAGAAGCAACTTTAGTCGATGGAGATGAAGAAGAAGAGGTGTATTCAATGTGGGGCAACTTGAAGGTGAGCAGATTAGGGTTTAGGGATTTTACTAAGTCCCAAAAAGAAAGACAAGTATATTTTAATTTAGTGAGGAGTGGTGCCTTTTGACCCACTAAATTCTATTTTCGGGACCAGTTATTAATTACTATAGAGACTAGATTATAATGTCTTCGCTGCAACAAAAAATAAAGAGACGAGAAGGAAAAGTCGTCCCTATAAGGATACTTTTAGGGACCAAATTTTTAACTTCTCCCTAAATGTTGGTCTCTAAAAAGCCTTTTTCTTGTAGTGTATGCATTGCAGTGTAGGTTGGGTCCTCTCCTACTCTTTTCATACCAGCTTGAATCTCATTCGTGGAAGAAAGATCCCAAGGGGAGATAATGTAACAACCTAGATTCGAAGAGGGTAAATTACCCATTTTTAGCAGTTGCAGGTGTCAACCCGCATTGACCACCCACCACCCGTGGATGGGACCACAGACCATAGGTGTGGTCCTCGGTTGATAACCCTAATACTGCCCAGGAGGGTTAGAACCACAGCCGGACCAACAGACCATTGGTGGAACCACGGTCCCTGGTTAAGGCCCGTGGTCCAAGACCCTCAATCCGAGTTTCTGACCACCATCGATGGCCGTACAGGACGGTCCATCGGCAGTGGCCGTGGGTCATGACTAGCAGTTAAGGTTCAGGGGTAGTTGGGTCTTTTTCTAATTATTTTATTCCTATACTATGTCGGTTTACCCTTCACTAAGACTCCCATATATGTATTTTAACCCCGAAATTTCCCAATAAAAATCATTCTTTCAATTCACCAAAAAGAAGAGCTCTCTCAAATGTTTCTCTCTATAGAACATGAAGAAGAAAAAGGATTCAACCTTGGGTTTCAAGTCAAGTCTCAATTCCTCCATTGAAGATAAGCATTTGGCTTTGAGGTATGATAGTTTTCATCCATGAATTCCTTCAATTCGTGGAGTTCCCAAATTCTTCTATTTCAAAGTTAGAATTCCCCAATTGAGTTTGCGTTTTCTTCAATTGTCATGAGTTCTTTTGAATATTGATTTAAATGAATGAGTGATGATCTCTTATGCATGAATTGATGAAGTACTACGATTTTATGATGATTTTCCCCCACGAGCCCAACTAATCCCCATGTTTTCAAGTTATGATCATATGATGTGGGATTTTGATTATAAAGGAAGAGTTTTATGAAATTAAGCACGGATTGCTAGCTTTAAATGAATTTATGATGAAATCCATATCTAACCAATGTTTTCTAAATGTTGATGATTAGAAGTGGGTTGTGAACCTTGAAAGGTAAATTATGGAATTATTCTTGTTCTAATGAAATCAATGCAAATGTTTTAAGGATTCTTTGAGAGTACAGTATCAATGAGATTATGTAGATGTGTTGTTGATAAAACTTTTCTCATATACATATAAAAGCATGACGTGAAAGGTTTTCTCACGGAATAAGGATTCTAAGGTTGAAAGGTCTTCTCACCTAATTGAATCAATGATTAAGAGCTATCCTAATGAACATAGCTTGGATTGATTATTGAATGATACCTTTCCATGGATGATGACTAAGCTTGGATTGGCAAGATGACATGCCCTTCCATGGATAATAAGAACAAGTAAGAAATGACTATTTCGTGGGATTTATGCTTAGCACCGAGAGGATATTGATATGGAAGCACTCTCGTTAATAGAGGACGGGTTTATAGAAGCAATCTCATTATCCCTTACCTATGTGGCCCCATAGGATGATTTCCTAGATAGACATTAGCTAGTGGATCAACTTTAGCTCAGATTATGGTCCTTACCGTGGCAAGTAGGACAACCATTTTTGGTGTGGGAGACACCGGGGGATCATGTTATAGCTCACATGGTCACGATGTCGGTTAAGGCTAATTTCCCACATTAATAATGAACTAAGGTTACTTCAAGAAGTATCTCATATGTGTTCAAAGGCTTTAAATGAAGTTAGCTTGCATTGACTATGGTTTTATAACTTATGTTTTCTAACTCTTTTATATCATGTTTTATCTTGGTCAATTGCATGTCATGAAATGTCCCCCTTTTTAGCATGATTTAAATGTTTTATGCACAGCTATCATACTTGGTACATTGTTTTGTACTAACGCATACTCTTGCCTACAGTTCGACAGTCAGGTTTCTCAGTTTTGTGGCTAGTGGTTGATTTCTGAGGATGGATGTTCATTGTTTCACTTTCTTTCATGTATTTCACTTTTGGACTTGATGTATGGGCTAGGACCAATTTCACTCTATTGTACTAGATGGCTATATTGAGACAAATGTTTTAGACTTCCACTTTTCTTGTATAAAACTATTGGACTTGGACTATTGTTTTACTCTTATTGTTCTATTTCTTATGTTATGAAAGGTAACTAGCTTATATGGGGTCCTTTGGGGTTCTATACGCCATGTTACATCTAAGGGGTACCCCTAGGTCGTGACACCTTCAAACTCTCAGAGATAGAGAGTTGTTTGCCAAACTCCCTAAATCTGAATTTTGTCTTGAGTAAGTGGCGTTCTTAGGCTACATTATTTTTGGTGATGGGATTCGAGTTGACACTCAGAAGATTGAGGCAGTGCAGAACTGGCCGAGACCCACATCCCCAGTTGATATTAGGAGTTTCTGGGGATTGGCTAGTTATTATAGGAGGTTTGTTGAGGGGTTCTCATCTATTTCATCCCTTTTGACAAAGTTTACTCAGAAGACAACAAAGTTTCAATGGTCTGAAGCTTGTGAGAAAAGCTTTTAGGAATCGAAAACATGGATGACTACATCTCCGGTGTTGACCTTACCGAAGGGTACGCAAGGCTTTGTTGTGTATTGTGATGCGTCCAGAGTTGGATTGGGTTGTGTATTAATGCAGAATGACAAAGTTATAGCTTATGCCTCGAGACAACTTAAGATTCACGAGAAGAATTACCCAACCCATGATCTAGATTTAGTTACGGTAGTGTTTGCTTTGAAATTATGGCGTCACTATCTCTATGGTGTTCATGTTGATGTGTTCACTGATCACAAGAGTCTTCAGTATGCATTTAGTCAGAAAGAGCTTAATCTCAGACGGATGAGGTAGTTGGAGTTACTAAAGGATTGTGACATGGGTATTCTCTATCACCCAGGAAAGGCTAACGTTGTTGCTAATGCTTTGAGCAGGTTGTATATGGGTAGTACTTCCCATGTTGAGGAAGGCAAGAAAGAGTTAGCCAAAGATATGCACAGACTTGCACGATTAGTAGTCCGGTTAATGGATTCCAATGAAGGAGGAGTAGTGGTGATGAATGGGGTTGAATTATTGCTAGAGTTCGAAGTGAAAGAGATACAAGACCAGGACCCTGTTTTGCTTGAATTGAAGGCAAATGTTCATAAGCAAAAAAGTGATGGCTTTTGAACAAGAGGGAGATGGTGTATTGAGGTATCAAGGTAGATTGTGTGTACCAAAGATGGATGAGCTCCAAGAGAGGATCATAGAGAAAGCTTATAGTTCAAGATGCTCTATCCATCCTGGTTCCAGAAAGATATATTGTGACTTAAGGAAAGTCTATTGGTGGAATGATACGCTCAAATTACACCTCCCGAAAGAAGTATATGCGATCCATTTCAAATAAATAACCTAACTTTCAGGTTAGGGTCGATCCCACGAGGAATATGGTTCAGACTTAGGCTAACTGACAATTATCTATGTTTAGCCAAATTAATTCCGAAAGAAGTAACAAAGGGGAGGATTTATAAATAAAATAACAGTTTTGCGGATTTTTATCACTAAGTAACAAGTAAGCAGGATTTGCAGTTTGAAATATCAATATGAGATGAAAACTAGGGTACAAGTGTTCCCCACAAGCTCTTAACGCAGTATTCCTAATAATTGTAACTCTATCCTAGTATTATCATGCAAGGTTGATAAGTTAGGTATTCCTAAGTGATTGGTTCTCCAAGTAGAGAATTTCACCACGCAACTTTGTCCGTCTATGGGTGTATGATTTACTAACCCTTACCTTTAACCCTGGATTAGCCATCACATCATAATGATTAAGGTCAAGCTATTAGGTAGCAACTAAACTTAACTAAATCTCCGTTGTTCCATCCCTTTCTCATTCATTACCTCCTTGGTCTGGCAAGTAAGAATCAGGCGAGTTCTAATGTTGCACACCGCTAGAAAGCATTTTGAATGACAAGATTAACAATACATGCTTACACTATTCTAGAATTACTTAATTATTACTCATACATTGTTAATTGCTCATGGTTCCCACAACCCTAGTTGTGGGTTTAGGTACTCATGCTTGAGAATTCACAATTCATATTAGGGTTAATAAGATAAATAATGAACTTACAATCAAAATAGATGAATACCACAATCTTCAATTGAAAACCAAAAGCAAATTGTATAAAACAAACTTCAAGAATTAAATTGCTCAAGTGTTTGCAAAATAATCCAAAAAGTCAAGAACGATAGTCTCCAAAAAGGTCCAACCCCCAAAAACGTAAATTACAACTTATATTTATAGTACTTATGTCCTAAACCAAGTAGGAAACAAAAATAAGGAAAATTCGGTTTTGGCTGTTTTTGACCGACGGTGGCCAACAACGGACCGTGGATTAGCCAATGGTCCGTGGGTCACCTCCATAGTTCAGTAATTGGCAATAATTCTTGGTCTTCTTATCGTCGATTTTCACCTACTGTTTGTAGATCCATTTACGCTCCGTTCTGCACGTCTGTGGTTTAAGTACTGAAACTCAACTTTCTGAATTTAATGACGGCACCCATCTACAGTCCATCACTCAAGCTATGGGGCGTCGATTGGCTCCATGATTCCACACTTAGGTCAAAATTTCTTGAAACACTGACCCACGGCTTCCACCTACGGCTCGTTAGCTGTGTGACGGCTCATGGGTAAGCTGGTAGGTTGCCAACTTCCGCTATTTAAGCTACATTCAATGACAACTGTTTCAAAACCGATTTCTTGCAAAATGAGACCAAACACCATTATATCTAATAAAAAAAATTCCTAAGATGCACACAAACTTCAAGTATAATGCATAAAAAATTAACGTTAATGATATGCTCAAATTACACCTCTCTAAAGAAGCATAATTGATCATTGTAAAATAAAGAACTCAACTTGTAGGTTGG